TTTTTTTTCCGTTGCTGCTTCAAGCCTTCAACTCCCTTGCGTTCTTCTTCTCCTTCTCCCTCCTCCTCCTCTTCTTCTTTCCCCTCTTCTTCGTCATTTTCTTCTTCTTCCTCCTCCTCCTCTTGTTCTTCTCCTCCCTCTTCTTCGTCATCTTCTTCTTTCCCCCCCCCCTCCTCCTCCTCTTCTCCTCCTCCGAGTCCTCCTCCGTTAGCCGTAGCCATTATTATTATTATTTTTTTTTCATTCCCCCCCCCTCCCCCCCTCCTGGCACACCCTCAAAAAAAGTTTCCAACATTCAGATTTTTATTGTAGAATTCGACCGATCTCGGCAAGCCTTGTCGAGAGCATCCGCTCCTGCCTTTTTCGCAAAGGCGAGAGCCCTCCCGGTCATGTACGCAGGAGTAAAACAAAACAAAAACAGAGATAACTTGGGAACGACACAAAATAATCCCGCGCGCCGCCAAGACGGTCGAGGTCGCGTCGTTCCGTCACCGCTCTAGCCGGGTGCGCCAACTGTACATCCCGCGGTCCCCTACGACAGGATAGGTTCCCGCGAGGCATAAACTTTCCCTCCCTAAGGGGCTGTCACCACCCTTAGGGGTGTAACCCTACCGAGCTACTGTCCCACGTGCGAAAGTTTTTACATGCAACTGTAGAGGTAGGTCAGCCGAGGGCGCTTGCTCGATCGCTGTAGTATAGATACTCTTGGTTAACGCCAAGCGAACCCGAACGCCGTACGTCCCTAGGGAGCTGATCTCCTAGGTGCGGAACAAACGTCGGTCGACTAGGATGGTCTCAACCAAGCGTGAAACCCAACTCGATCCTAGTCCCTTAGACACAAAGTCAAACAAAATTTATAACAACCATACATAATTACAAATAAAAACGTTGACCGCAACTGATAAGAACGTACATCCAATCCAAAGTAATAACTGGGAGCATTCAAATCATCATTTGATACATTCAACAACACACGATAAAAAACAAACCGGCCGCCTCAGGTCGAATATCACAAAACAATCAAATAACCGCCAATAAGAAGTTGACTACCGAAAATAACATTGATGCAGTCGACAAGGTAGTCGGTCTGCCTTAGTTTTGACTTGATGAGACACGTTGCCAAAATCATTCATTCCACCTACCGCCGACTTAAGATTATACACGCTTTCACCTGTCTCCGTATTTTCTCAATCTTCTTGGATGACAGGTTGCTTTGCGGATGATTCTTAATCAGGGGCATTGCTTGAAGTGTTGCATGTCTCTCCCTCTAGGAAGTGGTCTGGGGTACTCCTCCTCGTCCAAACACAAGACCCGGATCTCAGAAGTCGGGCCGTCTCCACCGAATCGACAAATACCCCTTCGTAGAACGGTCCACTCCGGGTCGATAACAGAGCCGACTCCTGAAGCAACAAACCTCCGCCCCAGATGCTTCCTAGAGATAGCGGATGAGTCCACTGCAAGTAACTTTCAATTATTCTTATTTCTCTTGAATTCAGGGTAGCTTGGATGAAAAGAAATCGAAGGAGATAGAGAACGGGAATCATTTGGACAGGTATAGGCAGATAAGGTCGTTCGAGATAGAAAGGGTCATTCCTTGGGAGAAGACTAAGTTCGTTTGACATTATTTGCTTTATTTGAATCGAATTCATTTTATGACACTCACTGAATTTATCTTTTTCAAAACAACAATTTTCACTTTCACAAGCAGACAGGTAGAAGGTAAAAAGAGGATATATATTTTTTTAATCTGAAACTGGCATAATCAATCTCCTTTGCAAGCATCCCTCTACCTACCTGCACAACATACAAAGACAACAAGTTCAAGAAAAAAACAATGCAATCCCATACTCAAGTCAGACCTCATCATTCACATGCATGACTCATACAACTTTCCTCAACCTTTTCTTTCGAACATTCAAAGCGAACAGGGTCAAGCAAATTGTGGATTCACACAGGGGTGAAAGGAAGTCTGAGTCATTCAACTGACCTTGAGTGAAGTTTGATCCGGCCCACTTAAGAAAGCCAAGTAATGTATCAATCAAAAGAAAATGACCGCTGTAGAAAAATGTGCGGCACACAACTCATAAGTTGTGACCTTTCTCTTGAATGATGGTCCGCGCTGCTTCTTTCTCAAGTGCCCGATCACACCAAGGTTGGGTCCAATGAGATGTATGAATGAGATAACCCTCAAAGAGGGTGTTCTCATGATCCAAACTCTTGTCGCCCCAACATCCCGGACACTCCCAACGCAGTCCCCACTGCACCATCACCACCAAGGATACTCCCCAACCAACGACAAGTTCACACCGCCTCTAATCACCACGTCCACTCACAATAGTCACACCAACATGCTGGTCCTGATCACATCAATCAGTCCCACCTAGTCCCAAAATGGTCTCAGATGGTCTCAATGCAGTCCCATGCCATCGCCGTAATACCAAATGGTTCAGAACTGAAACCCACTCGCACTGTGCGCCACAAAAAAATAAAGGTGATGCTGGCTGAAAACTGGCCGTGTCACGAACCCAAAAAAAATTAAGATGTTCTTCCGGCGCAACCGCAAGTACCACACTACAATAATTGTTGCTGCAAGCATTCATTCCACACTTTCTTCATGCCGCCGGACCACGCGCCACTGCCGCACGATCCTAGCCACGCACCAGCATCAGTCCATCCTCCAGGCCAAACTGAAATCCAATAAAACCGCCTCGCACCACAAAAATAACGCGGACCACTGCTTGCTGCGCCGTCAAAACTGGTACCATGGTTGTCCCGCAATACCGCGGTCAGATCACACACAAAAACTGCCTCCACTGCGACGCAAAAACCCGCAACAATCTTCCCTCACAATAGTGCTGCTGACGTACCTCCACCAGAACCCCAATAAAAATAACGTCGATACCACCGCCAATCTCGGCAGCATGATCCCCCCCCTAAAAATATTGCTGCCACCGTGCCAAAACATGGCAGCACTTCCTCCCTGACAGCGTCGTTGCCGCCGTGCAAAACTGGCAGCGCTTCCGCACCACTGCCGTTAGAACCAATGCAACCGCTGCAAAAATCTGGCAGCGCTTTCGCGTCACTGCCAAAAAAATCACAGCTGCCGCCGAAAAAATTCGGCAGCGCTCCGGCAGTACGTCAACAAAAACTATCGTCGCCTCAAAAACCGCGCGGCATCTCCCCAACAAAGTGTCGTCGCCGCCACCGCCATGAAAAACCGACAGTCCTTCCGCACCACTGCCGTTAAAACCAATGCCGTTGCCGCAAAAATCCGGCAGCATAACCCCACTAAAATACGTGCCGCCTGCCGCACCGTCCGGACCCTGACGCAGCCTTACCACCGCAGCACCAGCCCACATACACAACACACGCACAAGGTTGGGGCAAAGCTCCAAGCCCTCAGCTATGGCTGCCTCCCCTCTCCTCCTCCAACTCTCTGCAGACCTCCACTCTCCACTTCAACACCTCCACCGGCAGCACCGCCCCTCTCCAGCAGCATGCAGCAGCCAGCCAACATTCACTCAAGTGAATGCCTTAGCAGCACTGCCACAAGTGTGAGGCTCCTGGGTGGAGTGCTGGCTTTTATAGCCAGCCGAAGGCATGTGGGCAGCTGCCTTGCCCACAGCCAGGCAAAAATTCGTCAGAGCTCCTGACCCTTGATCTAAGTCGATGGCCAGGAGCTATGAGCCTTGGTTTTCCCCTTGGGAACCCAAGGTTATCATTTCCCAGAAGTACCTGGCCGTTTTCCCAGGCCAGGTGCTTCAAGAAATGGCTGTACTCAGCCATTTCAGGACTGCATGTTCAAGTGAACAGGCGCAGTCCCATCAGCCCCTAGAACCTTCTAGGGGTTGCACCTGTTCCACGGCCACGGCCACATTCGTGGCCGTTATATTCCCCCCCCCTCCTTCCTTACTTCTCCTTATTTCGTATTCTTCCCTTTTACCCTCTTTCCCTCTTCTTCTATTTCCTACCCCCCTATTAAATCTACCCCCGCGGCCACGTACGTGGCTTTTACTTACTTTTCTCTCTTTCTTTTTTTTCTTCCTCCTTCTTTCTTTTGTTTTTTTTTTTCCTGCTTCTTACCCCCCCTCGTTTCCCCTATGCAGGGGCAGTTCGCCGTTCGAAACGAACGACCGCCTCTTCCTTCCCATCCCTAAGTCAAGCGCAGTAGGGGGGGGGGGTGTCCTGTCCTGCTCGCGCCCGCACCTGGCAGCCAGTAGTGCCAGGTGCAGGCGCCAATCTGCAGCCCACCAGCCTTCTCCCTTCCTTCCTCCCTCTCTCTCTCTCTCTCTCTCTCTCTCTCTCTCTCTCTCTCTCTCTCTCTCTCTCTCTCTTTCTCT